TCTCTGGCGCGCGAGAAATCTTTAACAGTCACCCTTTTACATGGATTGGTGCTACAAGACTGTATTGGACAGGAAAAATACACCATGTGGTGATCAGATATACCTGGTTCAACCGATACAGAAAAATCACTGATTGTTTGACTGACAAAGACAAGATCAAGTACCATAGCTGACGTACCATGAACACGTGTCGGTTGATTGACAACCTGCCTCAAGTTGTGGTACGACATGATATTACTTATAAAATTAGAATTTGAATTTAAGTCGGGACCAGGGTATTCATTCACCCAATCTATTTCAGGCAGGTTGAAATCTCCAACAAGAAAAATTTTGTCATGAGAAAATGAAGACATGTGTTCACAGAGGTCATGTAAGAACTGAGGGGGTGAATCAGGAGGGCGGTACAAGCCAAACACCAACAATGAAATATTCCAGCATGTAATCTTTAAAGTAACGCATTTTATATTTTCAGGCTGACGTAAAAGCACGACAGGAATATCGTCTTTGATCAAAATAGTTACTCCTCCTCCTCTAGTATTCCTGTCACGACGAAAAGCCCGATAAGAAGGGGGGAAAACAACCGTATCGTCAATATCATCATGTAACCATGTCTCGGTTATCACCACTATGTGAGGGGCGTATCCTAAAATAATTGCCTCGAGTTGGTCACTTTTATTTACAATACTGCGCGCATTGATATTAAGTAGTCGTAGTTCCTTGCAGACCTCATGGGCAAGTCAGTTCTGTTTAGAAGATCCGTGGGTCCGAATATTAATTCTTGCGTTTTGGGTGTCGTCCCAGATAAATGTGTCATCATTGACACGTAGCTTGTCATCCTTTAGACTGACTTTTTTTCCCTGCTGTTTTTCCAATTTTGCACTGTCCCACAGGAGCTTGCGCTTTCTTAATGTGGTGTGCGAGTAATCATTTTGCAAAGATATGACAGTCCCTTTGAGTTTGTAGGCATTCTTTCGAATTTGTTGTTTTTCGTTATAGTCTTGAAAATAAATTATTACAGTACGTTTTTCACCGGGTCTACCAAGACAGTGAATTCTGCCGATTGATTTACACTGAATGTCAAGTTTCTTCGAAAATACATCGTCTAAGATTTTAGATTTTAACATAAAATTGGTCTCTTGTGCTTCTTCCGGTATGCCGAAAACCACCAAAATAAAACGCCTAGATTTGTCTTCTATATCTGTCAACTTCGCCTCCAAGGACTTGACTGTATTTTCTAGAATATCAAAACGTGCCACTCGTTTTTCTAATTCCGAAAAATGAGCGACCCAGTCAGCCATGAGCTTTTCCATATTATTCTGCTGAGCTCTAATGGCTGCCACTTCAACAGCTAACTTATTTTGACCAGCTAACAATTCACTTAGCAAAGCCTCAGTTGAAGGACCGGGATTTGACTCCACGTCACCACAAATCAAAAGCAAGCACACACAAAATACATCATTTGCACAGCTAAATAAGCGTTGTGGGCACGGTAGGACCAAAAGACCACGATGATCGCTCTTAATTGAGCTGAAGTAACCACCAACCTGAACGAGACACAAGAATGGCTTGTTAGACCACATACTCGCTCCTGGTCCACCGCGCCCACTGAAAGAGTAGTGTCGGTGCTGCCTTATAAGGTGCTCTGCAGCAGTCACATGGGGTGCCGACTGCGTCTGCGCACGGGTGTCAAGAAGCACGGATATCGCACTGCTGACAGTATCACGATGTGGCTCCTCTGATGACGCTGAATACTGATGAAGCTTGCCAAATTCGGTTGGTTCGAGCTGCGGACTTATTCCGGAAGGCACACGTTTCCGTCGATGTGTTAAGCCGGCGGATCCAAGAACAAGCACCTGAACGAGACAGAAGAACGGCTTGTTAGACCACATACTCGCTCCTGGTCCACCGCGCCCACTCTATGCTGCCATATGCTGCCATTTTTTGCGGTTTTCGTACAGGTTGGCTATTGGCGGGTTGGCAAGAATAGTATGGACGTCGCTAGCGCAACCTGCGTCCAGGTGGACGTACAACGTGATCGTATCAAGCCTGATTTGCGTAAAGCGCTTGAAGGAGAACTGGGCCTCGACCTGAGCAAACCAGACCTCCGGCGAATCCAACCAAAACGGCAAAAGCGCGACATCAACAGGCCAGGAATAAGCGAGGGGAATGACTTCTGTATGAGCTTTGACGTTCTCAGCGGAGCTGGTAGGCACGACCTCTTTTGCAGATGCGTTGCGAGATTCCTGCTGTTGCTGGGTCTGAAGTTCTGGTTGAAGTTGTTGCACTTGATGGTCAAGAGTGGTGAGGGCTTCTGGATAGGCCATGCTGGTGCGGGTCGCCAGATGTCGGTACCGTGATGACAGAACACACCCCAACATAAAACATAACGACTGTTTATTTACGTTGTAGCAGCAGCGGGGCAAGCATGTCGATGCTGCGCACACCGGGGTAGCGAAGCAAAAAGTGAAACCGAGCTTGGCAGCTTGAGTTTTATTCACCAGTGGTGATTTAAGCCTCCGCTGAAGCTGCAGTGGCACTGTTCGTTATCGGAAGCGTATTGCAGCAAGTTGCCGAGTCATGCCGGCTAACCAGTGACGAAACGGAGGCTTCACAGTGTTGTGCGCAGTGGTCAGCACAGCTTCAAACCACAGCAACTATTTTCGTCAGGGAAAAGCATCCCTACTTTTAAACATTCATTAATCCCTCAACAGAAACTTCGTGGGTAAGTTCGAAAGGGTGGAGGCAATGGGGAAGCACTTCCTCTGAATTTCAAATATTATGATCAAAACCACATGCTTTAGTGCTTGAATGAATAAATGGTCTTCGACAAAGCTAAACAGCACGACAATTTTCTTGTTTAGGCGCCAGCTAAGAACCCCATCTTAGTTTGCCAAATAATTAAACTAGGTACCATACAAGACGTTATACATGGGTCTTGAGTATCGTCGACCTTGGCACAGACTTCCTAGGGAAGGCTATGTTTTCGTGTGCTCGTGAGGGCGCCGCAAGGAACCCCGTCGTGTCATAAATAATTGTGCGCTTCGTGGGAGACGTGGCATTACCGGAAAAAGTAGAGAACACGTGTTGTCAAAACTTCTCGTTGAAACAGAAAAAAATCAGCACCTCAATTTTTAACGTATGTTCGCTCAACGGCAGACAAGCTGACACAGCAGAACCCGGAAGACGTATCTCTGAAACTGTTGATATATCTACAAGCCGTTGTCAGCAAAGAGAAAAATTCCGCCTTGGTAACATTGTTGATTGCTTCACAGTACATTCCTTGGCGTTAGTTTTCATGCATAAATAGGGTGGATGTATGGTCTTGCGCACACATGTACAACGCAAAGGCAACGGCAGCTGTTTAATGAGGATTCCACGTGAGCTGAGATGTATCACTTTAAAGTTCAAAGCGTCGCCAAGAACCTCTCAAAAATTTTTAACCTCAATAAGCTCACCGCAACATAAAAAGAAGCAGACTTGGCTGCTTATTAATGTTTTTTCAGCCAAAACACACAATCCTGAGCGCCAATTTCGAGCTATAGTCCAAGAAAAATACATGGTCAAATTTTTAGCTGCATTTTTGCGGAAATATTTAAAGATGTTGCCATGTGATGATCCTTGTGTCATTAAAGCTCTTGGCAGGTTACTAAACCTTTTAGGTTACCAACACGCGGATACATTAGGTGTCTTTTCAATAGACAATAGGTGGCAATGCACAAAAACAGTTTTGCCTTGAGAAAAGTTGTGAGAAAATTCACGATGGTGATAATTTTCTAGAGTTAATTTGAATAATAATTTCAGTTTTTATTTTAAACGTAACATAATTAGTTTGAGTAAAAATAACTAATAGTTTTGAATAATCGTATTTAACACATCATAACCTATTAGGTATGAATTAACTGCTTATCATAAAACTTTGACAGGAGTCTGATGTTTTAAGGCAATCTATACATGAAATACGATATATTTTGCGTGGATATACAGTTACACAGTTACATATACGATTCCACAGTTACAACGCAACGCCCGACGCATCATATTTGATACACAAAGCTGGAAGATGCACCCACTGCTACCAATTGAGCCTGAAGGCACAAAAGCCCATTATTGGGGCTTAGGCAAAGGGAACGTTAAAGGTGCTTTCAAGCCTCAATAATGTTGTAGTTCCTGCCCTTCAGTTTACAAGACGGCCGCCTCACGTACTGCACGTCATACGGTATTTCACCTGGATCGTTATACTCGAAAAATATACATCCAGCATTTACTATCAATAATTACTGTGAGCTTTTTGTCTACAATTCCCGAGGAGGCATAGTTTTATGACAATGAAATTGTAAGGTATATACTTGAGCGTATCCTTGAGAATGACGAAAAAGTTTTGAAGAAATTGGGTTGGGTACCTATGACTACCTAGCAGACAACAAAAATAACCCTCATGTTACACGAGATTTCCGCCTTTGCAGCAAATGTATGAAATCTTTACAGTCGTCAGTCTGCCAAACTGTTTTATGTGAGCGTAGTGCATATATCGCGGTCCTGTCATGGCACCTGATGCTGCCTGCAAAAAAAAAGGAAAAAGAAAAAGGACAGCCACCTATCTTTGTCATCACTTCCTCAAAAAGAAAAAAAAGTGCTCTACTGACCTAGCCCAGTGCGGAAGTAAGGAAATTTGCAAGCTATATACACACTATACTATCGATACAATCAAGACCAACGATACACACAAATATGTACCATTAGTTCCACTACAACCTTCTGTGAATATATACACTTGGGTATCATGAGCCAACTAACAAAATGTGCTGCTTTTTCTATAGCAGTTGATGAAGGTGACCATTGTGGGGTTCCTCTCAAGCAAGAAATCCAACTGATGGCAGCGGTGGTTGAAAAGGGACGTCCGTATAATCTGCTCTTTTTTTTACCTGAAAACTACTGCCATAACTGCGGAAACACATCCTCACATAACTCAACCCGCGGAGGTGTCGTGTTTCCGGCGCCGGTATCACACCTCGACACACTGGTAGAAGCGGTGGTAGTGAATGAAGGTTTGCCTAATCCATTCCTTCTTTGCTTACCCAGGTTCGTGTCTTGCGTCTGGGTCTGCGGCGCTTCGCGGTTTTAGCGTTGCTTGAATTGATCCGCTTGGCTCTTTTCTCCGAAGTGATGCCCTTGCTTAACATTCTGTGTTTTTTCACGCTTCAGACTACACCTGCAACCTGGTGCCGTAGTTGAGGAACCTCATCTTGGTGTCACTGACTGCGCAGAAGAGTTGTGGTTCGACGTCAATATTTTACTCAGACAGGTGAGCAGGAGTGGTGGTGGGGAAAACACATTCACCTAATCCACCTATTTATGCCTACCAGGTTGGTAAGTTTTTGTATTTTCTTAATAATGATGCTTCACGGCTTCCGCTGTAGTCACCGTGGCTCAGTGCGCTGCTCACTACTGTGTGATAAACGTGATTTTCGCGGAGCTCATTACCACCAAACCGAGTAGGAATTAAATGCTTGGATGTCAAGTTCATTTCTGGACCACGAATTATGGTAGACATCTGTCATTCCATTGACGAACTTCGCCATGGTGATGGACCCATTCTGAAATAATACTAATTTGATTTCTCTGTAATGTTGGTGTTATACGCAACTAATCAAACTGGCAAAAAGTTTAAATAAATCAAGGTTTATTACTTTTTTTCCGTAGTTGAATGATTCGCACTTATATTAGAAGGAACCAAAGGGTATGAACAATAGATTTTTTCCGTTGAAGAAATTCGAGCCCACGTAGTTAGAATTACGCACCCGATGCTCTACCACTTGAGCTATGACCGACGGAACTTCCGTGTCCCCCGTTTGTAGAGTTTTTATGTGTGCCTAATATCTGGGTCTGTAACCTAGCGCCACTCGTTGCCTTGACGGCGAGTGTGGAGCACCATTTTTGCCAGAGGGCATCGCGAGGCACTTGGTCTTCGCTAGAGGTGGCGGCGTACCAATACACCATCGCATGCTACCTACGACTCGAATCTTCTTGAACGAAGCCCTCGCTATAAAACTACAAAAATGGGAATGATCTGAGGGTTTCGCTTTCTCATGAAACCGACAGACAATTAGGCAATGGAAATCATAGAAGTCATTTTTGTGGCCCCTAATCGTTGTTAAATAAGTTTCACTCGAGTTGAAAAGAAATAAAAAGAATAAAAAATCAAATTCATGTTTGTGGGATCCCTAACAGCACCTTTTTTAATTGCACTAAAAGCTCTCTAATAAAGTTTGGTCTGCCAGAGGTGCTGGCTGAGATACATAGATAATAAAGACACATGTATTCCCTACATAAAAGTGCACAAAGAAGCACACTCAGTGCCAGTTGAAATGGCAGAGCATCGGATGCGGAATTCGATTAATGCGTGTTCGCATCTCATTGATTCTAAGTATTGCTCAAGTTCCTCTTCATTTCATTTCTATTAAAGTGAAAGGCATTGATTACACTACACGTAACAAACCACGATACAGTGTCCCCAATAGTTTCCCTGGCCTAATTCTCTATCAGGTTTATTACTTGTGCATAGTATAGAAGACGACGTCCTCGGAAAATTTTCCTTGCTTCGCACTACGATGTTGTTAGTTGTTCTGGCTGGTGGGAGTCAATATACAAAGCTAAAGGCGAGATTAGACGCAAGGCGTGGCGATGGTCCCCATTCATCAAAAGCGAAAGGTGGGGAGCCTAAGTAACATGCATACGTTTATTTAACCGTTTGCTTGGCCGATACACCTAGCAGCATTGGTGCTTTTGCGCGGATGCTGGCTACGGTTGAGAAAATATAAGGACTCAATTCAGTCATTGCCACAGAGTTACGGTGAAATGACGAGCTGAGAAGTTTGGCGAAAAAAATCATAAGTTATTTAAGCAGATGCGCAGGGGTATTAGAGACGGACTCCATCTCGGGTTACGTATACAGCAACTGAAGGCGTCAGTGAATATTTTCGAGTTCCAGAGTAGGAGATTAAACATATGACAGAATGACGAACCCGTCAGAGTTGACGGATAATGGCATGGGCACTACAGAAAGAATTCCATCAAATACAACCCAAACAACTGAAAGCGGCCACGATTTGTCCAGCAGTGAACTAGTCATGAGTGGCTGAAAAACGGAAAGCCCTACGGCATTGATCATGAGATTTTATCTTTTTAGGACAAACGTCTGCATAACCGAAAGCTGCTACGCTGCACAGACGACAGCATAAAAGAATGTCTATCATTTGCCATGGCAATACAACGGCGAGATTCGCGCCAGGAAAAGCGTCGATTGTAGGAGCTTCTCAGGCGTTTCAGGTGCTTCTGGAGAGTCAAAGAAAGCATGATGACGTTATCGAGATAAACTAGGCAAACGTGCCACTTAATACTAGTAAGAACAGTGACCACTATTCTCTGAAAAGTTTCGGTTGCAGAATACAGGTCGAAGGCAAGCACTTTTACTCACGCAGGCCATCCGGTGTAACAAAGGCAATTTTTTTCGCGATGTCTTTCAACAACATCAATCTTCCAGGGCCCGCTTTTTCATCCAATAGATGAAAAATACTTCACCTGTCGCTGTCCAAGGAGCCCATCGTAGATGCGGGACAGTAGATGGATGACTGCTTTCTTTCAGAAAACAACCAGTGACGACCAGGAGTTCTTCGAGGGTTGTATGAGGACATCTTGAAGCATCTTTTCTACAACAAGCTTTATCACGTCACGTTCCTCGGAAACTCGGTAAAGTTGTTGCTTTATGTGTGCAGCGTCTGTGTACGTAATTATTCGGTATATGCTGATTGAGATCTATTGTGCTTTAAAGGATGATGTGAAGCACGATTTGAACTGAAGTAAAAGTTGATGCAGTGTTAGTTGCTAATCCTTGAAGTTTTATTTATTCTTAAAATTGCCGAGTGGTGGAGTCATGTTTCTTAATTTTGATAGAAGGGCATCGTCTGATAGTGTAGACCTGAAACACTCGGCAACGTGTGCTACAGGGTAGTCAAAAGTTATGGCCATGTGACAAAAACTGTGCTGGTTCTCGTTACTCAAAATTCGTCACGATCATCACAGTATGTCCGTCATACAGCGTGAGGCACACAATGGGGGGGGGCGCACAAGCGTTTCCTTCAAATCACAACCACTGCAACACGCTCTAATGATTTGTTCTACTATGGCTCACTTGCATATATTGTAGTGATGCTGAGGTAGACAGGCTAAAAAAAACAAGCGTCTTTATTAGGGCAAACTTGTACCCACGAGTCTAATGATTATGGTCGTCGAAGTCCGAGTAGTCGAGTTGCACAGATCCAACTATCTTCCTCTTCCTCGTAGCCCGAGTGCATGAGCGCGTGGCGCATGCCCGCCGGGTCTTGCCTGGTACTCGTGCCACGATGATTGCGGCGGGCTACTTGCACGTGGCCAACTTGCCGCGGCATTATCCCCCTCCTCAGACTCATCGTCCCGATGCTTGAGTCAGTGAAAAGATACATGCACACTCTGACTCGTTTTCCGACGATCTGTCATGATAGGGCTTCATGCGGACTACGTGTAGCACTTCCGTGGGATTGTGGCGTCTTGAGTTCACGTGTACAGTGGATCTGACTTTATAAGTGACGTCGCTGATATGGTGGAGTACTTCATAAGGGCCGAAGTGTCGGCAAAGAAGTCTGTGGCGGCGCACTGGGATCCATATCCACACTTTGTCATCGGGCTGATAAAGTGCATCACTGCGTCACTTGTTGTACCGACTAGAGTCGGCACGCCGTTGGCGACGTATTCGGTATCTTGCCATTTGTCGTGCTTCCTCGGCTCTTTGCAAGAAGTCATCTAAATCAGGTGGATAGCTGCTTTCGTCCCGTAGTGGTTACATTGCATCCAGTGGGTTGGTAACTGTCCGACCGAATACTTGTTCGAAAGGGGCAACGCGGGTTGTTTCTTGAACGGCTGTATTATATGCGAATGTTATGTTGGGTAATAATTCATGCCACTGTTTATGTCCAACATCAACAAACATTGACAGCATGTCAGTCAGAGTTTTGTTTAGGCGTTCGGTTAAGCCATTTGACTGCGGGTGATACGCCGTTGTGCTTCTGTGATCGGTATTTGTCATGCGCATCAGGCATTGCATTAGGTTTGCAGTAAATGCAGTGACCCGATCCGTAATAATGACGATGGGCGCCCAATGTCTGAGCCCTATGTTGTTCACAAAGAAATTGGCGACTTCAGCAGCAGTCGCGCTGTACAGAGAGTCAGTCTCAGCATATCGGGTCAGATAGTTTGTGGCTACTTCTATCAATTCCTTGCCTGCACACGATGCCGGGAAAAATCCTGGGAAGTCCATGCCGAGTTGTTGGAATGGGGCATCCAGTCTATTGGCTGGAGAAGGCCGGCTGGTTTTACAGGTGGAATTTTGCACCATTGACATCGACGACAAGTTCACGTAGCACTGCGCTGATGCGAGAGACTTAGGCCAATAGTACTTCAAGCGAATCCTGGCGAATGTTCGGCTCACACCCATGTGTCCAGATGTTGGCTTGTCATGCCATGCATGCAGAATTTCCTCTTGCATGACTGCGGGTACGACTAGTAAAAACGTTTCGCCAAAATGTTCAAAGTTCCTCCTGTAGAGAAGACTTCCTCGAAGGCAGAACACGGAGAGCCCTCTGGAGATTATGCGAGGGACTTGAACGTCGAGACCCTGCAGGTGTTGTATAAGCGCCAGTAAATCTGGGTCATCTTGTTGTTGTTGAGCGATTTTGGATGCGTCGACAACGCCTCAATAAGGGAAGTCTTGCTCTTCAGATACATTTAGATCGACGGGCAAGTATTGGTGAGTATTGGTGAACCCTGTAGCCGTTTTCTTAATTCATCAAAAGCTTTCTGTTGTTCTCGTTCCCATGTGAAGGGCACGTCGTCTTTTGTCAGTTTTGTAAAAGGTTCCGCAATCTTTGAGAAGTTTTGCACAAATCGCCTATAGTAGGCACATAAACCCAAAAAATCGATGCCCTGACTTTTTACCTCTGGGTGTAGGGAACCTCTGAATACGGGCTGTCTTTTCGGGATCCGGAAGAAGGCTATCAGAACTAATGACATGTCCTAAGAATCGCAGCTTTTCCAAGCTGAAGTTTCAATTTTCGGGTTTGATTGTCAAGGTTGCTGACTGGATGGCTTCCAATACTGTGCGTAGTGGCTCTAGATGTTGGACGAACGTTGCAGAAAATACCACCACGTCATCCAAATACACTACGCATGACTGCCATTCCAATCCCGCAAGGACAGTGTCCGTCATTCGCTGGAACGTCGCTAGCGCGGAACAGAGGCCGAGTGGAAGGATCGCCGCCATCCTGGCCCATTTTCATACCATGTTTTATAGTGGGTGCATATTGTGCGGAATGGGGGAAACGGTGATTTGCTCACGTTGTCGTATTGTCAATCCCTGTTAATTGTCGTCCGCCATGTCCGACGGGATGGCCACATCTGTCATGACTGACCTCCCAGCCTTTGTGCTTAGAGAGGCTTGTGACCTGTGCCCTCTCCTGTGCCTATGAAATCTCCTCAAGTGTATTGTGTATCCTTAGCTGGAGGCGTCATTTCATTTCCGTGTGGTTTGTAATACTGCGAGTACTCTTGATGCCTCTCCCCATCATGACGTTTCGTTTACCTCACTCAGCCCTCAACCAGATATGCATGGTCGCAACATAGGTTAAGTTGCGCATTAAGAACACACGAATAAGCCAAGCCAGGTTGCCTTCTGCAACACCACTTCACTTGTTGGCGAACCTCCAGATAAGGCCGATGCTGCTGTCGGTATTTTTTGCAAGTTGGAGTAACGTTCGGTTATTGGTCTCCCCTGATTCGATGCAGATCAACGCGACCCTAGAGATTGCATCCCCACTTTGTGTTCAGGTTAATGTCAGTCTCTGCCAGGGACTTGCTTGGCTTATGTTCTCCCCTGATGTTCACAATAGCAGCTCCATTTTTCTCGGTGAGCCCCAGAGGCCCGTGTGCTACAGAAAAAAGTCTGTGTAGTTGGCAGCTTTCTGTAGGACAGACTCAATGTGCGCATCGCTCCCCCCAGCACGCCAGATTGCTATGTCGCCCACGGTTGTCCGATGCCTTGAATCTTTCCCAGACCTTTCAATAGACCAACCACTATAATATTGAAGAAGAGCGGTGAAATCGTGGACCCTTGCGGAGTGCCTGATTTGGGGTACACTGCAAAGGCCATGATTTAATTTCAATGCTCAAATCTATTTTGCCCTTTTCAATCTCGCCGACCTTGATGAGCAGGGCTCTGGGTCCCCCAAGGAAATATCGAACGAAAGCATGAAACGCCACACCCAGGCATAGGTTCGAGATTGCGTTGAAAATGACTGATTTGCTTATGTTATCAAACGCTTTCTCCAGGTCAAAACTGAAAATGACCATCGTGCACCTGGTGTTAATGTCAAGTATCCAGGTCTTGCTGAGCCTCATAGCATGCTGTATTGAAATACTGGGCCTAAATCTCACCATGCTATGACAAAACATCTCGCCTTCTTCGACAAACCCTGTGAGTCTGCAGTGGATGGCAATGTCCTGCCACATTCACCACACAGAATGTAAGAGAGATGGTCCGTAGAGTTTCCAAGATCGGTGACTTGCCTGGTTTAGGAATGAGGATGACCAGCGCTATCTTCAGCTGCCCAAGGACTGTGCCCTCCTTCCATATGCAATTGATTTCGCCAGTGAAAAGCCCACCCGACTGATCTCGAGGTTTCTGAGGGCCTTGTTTGTCATGAATGTCATGATTTACATTTCATGGTCCTGCAGCTCTTGCGGTGGTTTCGTTCACATGGCATGTTGCAAAACCGGTATGGTATTGCATGATTGCATGGCAAACACAAGCGACAGACCCTAACATAAAAATCATGACATGCGTGTCATGTAACAACATGACTGCATGCCACGCTCATGATGCGCTCGCGGGCGTTTCGCTAGCGTCACATATACGAAATTTGGTATTACGCTACGTGAATGAATTGCGAAGGTATGTGACTGGTACAAACATGATAATCTCGAGATGTGTGTTATGTAACAACATGATTAAATGTCACGCTCATGATGCACTGGGTGTCCTTTCGCGAGCTTGAATTATACCAAATTTGGTATTACGGGACGTGAATGGATGACATAGGTAAAGGACACACACAAACATGATAATCACGACATGAATGCCATGTAACAACATGACTACAAGCCACCCTCATAATCCGCTCGCGGCGCTTTCAGTAGCTTTACATATACCAAATTTGGTATTGTGTGACGTCAATGCAAGACGAAAATATGTGACTAGTGCAAGCATGACAATCATGGTATGCGTGTCATGTCAGAACATGCCTACATATCACAGTCAAGGCGCCAATACATTTCGACTTGACGCGGTGCGCGTGCTCACCGGCGTTCATTTCGTCGAGTCACGCCGACGTTTTCACTCCTGGCAACGGTCCTGCCTTATACTCGCAGGCGCGGGCCGTGCTACGTTGCTTTGACGCATCCGTGTTCCAGCGCGTCCAGCGCCCCTCCGTCGCGAAACGAGCGAGGCCCAGTGATGTCTGGGTAACGCATCGGCGCGAAATGAAGCATGTCGCATTTCGCGCCGGATGCCATCTGGCCGCGCCGACAGAAGCTGGTGGCGCCGGTCGCGCCTGTCCTCAGACTATACAGTGCTCGCGTTTTGCGAACGTAGCGTCGCTGCG